GATTGTGAAATTTCAGTTACATTGTATTGTCGGACCTATATGAGATAGGGTGATGTGGGATCACCCCCAAGTATGTGCATAGTAAGGTTATTCAGTGATTGATTGGCTTGTGAAACAACTCTGGGCACATTCGAGGATGAACGTATGTTTCAGTGGTGGAGGATGTAACGACCCGATCGGTTGTTTTGAGCTTTTGCACTTCGCTCGTCAGTTCTCGGGCATGACTTGCCCCGTGTGATGTATTATGACTTATGTAAATCATTGGTTTTGATTTTCAGGGTAATCGGAATGAATTTGGAAGAACAGTTCTTAGTTTGAAGCTTGAAATTTGAAAGGTTTGACCAAGATTTGACTTATTTGTATATGATTTCGGATTAGAATTCTTATGATTTGGTTAGCTCTGTTAGGTGATTTGGGACTTAGGAGCGTGTTCGGATTGTGTTTTGGAGGTCCGTAGCTTATTTAGGCTTGAAATGCCGAAAGTTAAATTTTTGAAGTTTCCGGTCTGATAATGAGATTTTGATCTAAGGGTCGGAATGGAATTCTGAAAGTTAGAGTGGCTCCGTAGCGTTGAATGTGACGTGCTTGCATAATTTCAGGTCATTCGGACGAGGTTTGATAGACTTTTTGATCGAAAGCATAATTTAAGAGTTTTTGGAGTTCTTAGGCTTGAATCCTATGTTAAATTGGTGTTTGATGTTGTTGTGAGCATTCCGAAGATTTGAACAAGTTTGAATGATGTCATGGGATGTGTTGGTACATTTGATTTGAAGTCCCGAGGGCTCGGGTGAGTTTTGGGTAGGTTCCGGGATGTTTTAGGCCTAAAAAAATAGCTGTTGCGGGTTCAGAGAGGTTGCAGACACCAGTGCGGTCCGCAAAGGATTTTGTGCGGCCACGGTGGGGGCTTTGCGGCTGCACTCTATTTTGTGCAGTCCATGGTGAAGAAGGTTTCACTGGTCTGACTTTGGAAGCTTATATCTTTTGATCTACAAGGAATTTTGGAATAATTCAAAAACGAAAGTTGTAGATCTTTAAATCTAGTTTCAGAAACATATTATAATTGGCATTTGGATATTTGTAGCGAAAGTTATGGCCAAAATACCAAAGCTTGTCACTGCAGTCAAATCTACCGCGGTCAGCACTGGTTTTTGTGCGGTTAGCGGTGCTCCACCGTGGTCCGTACTCGATTTTGTGCGGTCAGCAATGGTGGAAATCCGGGAGGTGCACTATAAATACGAGGTTTAGGGTTTTATTTCATATTTTGACCTAGAGAGCTCGGATTTTGGCGATTTTTTGAGGGGTTTTCAAGAAAATTATCGAGGTAAGTGATTCTAACTCGGATTTGGCTAGAGTACATGAATATATTATCTATATTGAATTCATCATTTGATTCATGATTTGGGATGAAATTTGGGAAGAAAATTTGTGAAATCTTTCAAAAATGTAAAATGATGATTTGAAGGACCAAATTGTATCAGAATTGGATAATTTTGGTATGGTTAGACTCGTGAGAGTATTAGGATTCTAGTTTGTAAATTTTGTCGAATTCCGAGATATGAGTCCGGTCGGGCTTGACCAATTTCGGAATTTTTAATGTGAATTAGATATTTTCGAGTGGGCTTTGTTCCCTTAGCACATTTTGATGGTTTTGTACTGATTTTGGTTAGATTTGGAGCATTCAGAGGCCGATTCGAGAGGCAAGGGCATCGCGGGATAGAGTTCGGACCGGATAGAGGTGAGTAATGATTGTAAATGATGTTCTGAGAGCATGAAACCCCGGACTTGCACATCATTGTACTATATTAAGGTGAGACACACGTTTAATGACGAGTATGGGGTCGTGCACTATTGGGGATTGTGACTTAGTCCGTTCCGGATGACTATTTTACCGCGTATTTGACTGAAATTTATTGCTATCATCATGATTTGGGCTGAATGTGATATTTGGGCCTTGAGCCAACTATTTGAACCATTCGGGAATTTTTACTGGTATTTTCTCACTATTTTGACTTTATACTTGAACTCAGTCATGTTATATTTCACTGTTTTCGTACTCATCCATGTTTACTCTATTTTAATACATTAAATGATATTTTTAAATGATATTTTTGGGCTGAGAATCATGTTTTACTATTGCTTGAGTGACTTGTGAGGATTTTGACTTAGTAAGGCCGAGGGCCTATGTTGGGAGGAAACATTTGATACTGATTATGAGGCCGAGGGCTTGAGATATGTACGCCACGAGGTGGCTTGATTGATATGAGGCCGAGGGTCTAGTGATGATGTCACGAGATGGCTTGATATTGCGCTTGGGCCATAAGGGGCTCCTTCAGGAGTCTGTACACCCCTAGTGAGCACGGGTGCCCATTGTGATGTGAGATTTAGCCCGAGGGGCTGGTATTGTTCTATGTGATTACCCGAGGGGCCGGTATTGTTCTGAGATGTTGCCCGAGGGGCGGATTTGTTGACGCGGTTCCCGAGGGGAAAACCTTTATGTGTTTATCTTTTCTTAATTGCCTATCAAATTACCTGCTTAATTGTTGAAAAAGACTTTTCATGAAGTTAAATTTGAGTTAAAAGGATTTTACCTATCTTTCACTGGTTTACTGTTTTAATGGTTTTACTGGTTCATTATAACATGCTTTTGTGTCTTCCGTGATTTTCTGCTTTCAGTCTTTATTTATGATTATTACTCACTGAGTTGGAGTACTCACTTTACTCCCTGCACCCTATGTGTAGATTCAGGCGTATCTGGTCCCGCTCCCGAGTGCTGATTATTTCCGGCTCAATACCTGTTGGCGTTCGCAGCCCGGAGCTCTTCCCTATCTTACTTCTTCATGTTCTTAGTTTCTGTATTAAACTTTGTAGTTTGATTTGGAGTGTTCCGGATTGTTTAGATGCTCATGACTAGTGACACCCCGGTATCGAACAGTGTTGGGTTATTTTTCGCGAATTAGGCTATTATCTGTTAACCTTGGATTATCTTATCACGCTTTAGATTTATTTCTTATGGTTTAACTGTTAATAATTGGATATGGGAAGTGTCGGCTGGCCTTGTCTTCACGAGAGAGCCCATCACGATCGGGTCCGGGTTTAGGGTCGTGACACAAATGGTCTCCTATCATTAAGAGATCCCTACACTTTATATAGACTCTTAATATTTTCAGCAACCAATGTAAGATTTTGTTCGCACCCAAAACATAGTAATAGATAATTTTTACCCATTAGATTAATGGAGGTTGCAATAACAGATAGTCTACTTTGAAGAACTAGATAGTAAGATAAATTACTTGTTATAGCCTGTTATAATAAACTGATGTTTATAAATTAAATTATTTAATATGCCGAGATATCCCACTTTTGTGGTGCTTTTGTTATGGAGTTCCAGTTTGTTTCTTTGTCTAGTCAAAATATATGAGGTGACTCTGTTCTGTTTTACGGTCCAATAATTTCAATAATGTCTCCTACAACAAACATCCTTAGAAGTAACGAATTAACCTTAGCCCCATTATGTACTCAAAACTTCCAACATGTCTGCCACTTCGTTGAACTCCCTTGAGTTTCAACTTTCAATAGTTCACTTTGGAGCTTTTTTATCCTTGTGTCGTTCTTTTTGTCTTTTACCTTTTGAACTACAAAAGAGCAAGTATAAGGTTGCTTAGCTTAATTTATTAGCAAAAAAAAAAAAAAAAAAAAACTCCAAAATAAAGAATTTGCTTATCTTAAATAGTCAATGAGAATTACAAACTTGAAGGGGGAGGGGTTAGGTTAAAATAATACTTGAGGCAGTGAGTAACGATGTAAGAATTTTGTTCCAAAAATTAAAAGATTATTTTAAGAATAAAATAGTAAAATTTTTGGTTAAACTTAAAGTAATTATAAGCTAAAAATTCATAAGTTGGGGGTGACGAGCTTATGACTTTTGGCTTATTTTTGAATTATAAGTATTTGATTTACAAGCACTTTTAAATTTACCAAACGTGTAGATAAGCCGAAAAATGCTAAACGCCCTCTAAGTTTCTCAGGCTTAAACTTTTAATTGAAACAATGGGCAATATAATATGGTATCAAATATAAAGGTTTTGATACCATGTGATGGAGTTCAATTTCTTTTTTCAATCATGAATTAAACGTGTGTGTGATAATGATTCAGTCATTCAGACATGAATCCAAGACTTCTATTTGTTTTATCACATTGTTTGTGTGAATCCTTTCACATAAATACAAATTTTCAAATTTAAACTTTTCCACGAGTAGTTTCCACTATTAAACAATCTCTCCATGCTTCGTATTAAATACTCCCATCACCTTGTTTTATATAACTTTATTTGACCGGGAACAATACATAAAAAAAAAAAAATACATTGGTGCATAGTAAAATTAAAGTATTGTGAGAACTTATGGTATTAAAGATATCATAACATTTGTAAGAGCATGAAATCAACAGCATCGAAAAATAAAGAGTTTCCAAACATAGAAAGATTGATGTGACTCTTTTTTAAATTGATTGAAAATAGAATAACTTTATAAAATGAAACGGTAACTTTATATTAATTAATTTGTATTAGTACTCAAATAAAGTTTTTGGGTCGTGATTCACGACTTAACACCATTGCTAGTTGCTTATGAATCACAAGGGAAATGTGTTTCTTCTGGTCAAAGCTCGCACCTTACACCTTATTAATATATAAATCTTATCCACATCCTGCACTAATTAACTTCTTTAATTAATTAACCAAATAAACTTCTTTAATTGATAATCTATCTTCAATTCTAGCTGATCAAGATACATATTGTTGTGCATCATTTTACGATGAAATATGTTTCCTCTTACATTTTCTTTCCCTTTCTATCCATTTTGCTGTGCTTTTAGCCTCGGCATGTATCTTTTGACCATATACAGTTATTAGGAAAACATTCATAATGATAACTGGAGAATAAATTATTTGAAAGGCTAATAAGGAGATAACAAAAGTGATTAATCCAAAAGTTTACTACTTATAAGGAGCACACTTTATACACATTATACAAATTACATCAGTTTTAGATGCTTAATGGAATTTAATTGGAAGACCTTCAGACACAGACACAAATATTATTTCTAAACAATCAACTTACTGCACTTTAATCATGTTTTGGTTAGCCCTAATGGGCAAATTCAATTTTAAAATAAAGTGATAAATTAAGTGTCAACGACCAATTTCTGGTATTGCTGTGTAGCCAAGTTGCTGCTCCATCTCCCAACTCAGTTTTGGTGCAACTCCATTATGCTTTGGAACATAATCCTACATAATTAATGCATCCAACATGTTAATTAACAAAGCAATACTGTACACAAAATTTTAATTTTTTTTAACTTACTAATTCCCAAGCTTATAAGTAGCCAGAATATTTGAAATTTTTGTCAGGAGTATGTTACGTGAACTCGGTTACAAATATACAAGATTAATATAATCATAAATCAATACGTGCAGTTCTTCCTTATATATATTTATTTATAAAATAAAATGTATTTTGAAAATTCACATGAAACATTCGCCTTCATGTCAAAAAATAAAAGGGTCAAGAAATAAGGTAAAAATAGCACGGGCTAGTCAGTTTTCGGATTGGTCATTCAAAAATAGCCAGCGTTTGCAAAGTCATTAAAAAATAGACACTACTTTGCTGCAACACGGAAAGTTCCAGCATAATATACTGGAGATCGGTGCACTTGTGTATGAACTTCCAGTATATTATGCTGGAAGTCTAACACGCGACAAGTTCCAGTATAATATACAGGAGATTGGAGTCCAATCTCCAGTATATTATATTGGACCGATATATTATACTGGAACTCCAGTATATTATATTGGAGTTCCAGCATATTATACTGGATTTCCAGTGTATTATATTGGAGTATTTTTCCAGATTTTAAATAACATTTTTGTTCAAATATATCTTTTCATGAAAAATGATTAAATTTCGATTATTTTTTAAACTGTGGTTATTTTTGAATGATCACTTGCGTTTGCTTATTCACAAATCACAATCATTGTTCCACTGAGTCAAACATATATACATGTGATGTGACAGATTCTTGGGTTCCGACTTCGACACATGTCCAACTCTCAACTCTATCTTGCTAATGTGTTAATGAAAAGTGGGGCGTGTGTCCCAGCGTGTGTAATTATTGATGAGGGGGCTGGTGGAGCTTTCAAACAGGGAGTTCATCTAAATTTAGTATTTTTCATGTATTTAATGCAAATATAAATTTATGTATAAAAATTTATTAAATTTATAACAAGTAATAAATATTAAATTATAACTTAAAATATTCAATAAATTTAATACTAAAATTCGCATATATAAAATTTATAAAGCTAAAATTCTGAATTCGCGGTAGAAAGCGTTATGATGATAAAGAAGGCAAAGTACCTCAAGTTTGGACATGAGTTCGTGAGCAGTGGGGGCAGAAACAATAATGTGATGGGCAGAGGGCGTGATGAAACCTTCTTCCACTGCTTTGTCTATGAAACACAATAGTGAGTTGTAGTAGCCTTCCACATTTAGCAGACCTATCTGCACGTAGTACGACCAATAACTTCCCATTAGCGCATAGTTATGATATTAAATGGGAAGATTGAACTGAATTTGGACGGTTAAAATGGGATGAGTCAATAAATGAGTTTATTATTGACTCGCTCAAAAGTTACTGAGATGAATTGGATCAAGATGAGTTAATGTGAGTCGTAGACCAATTCGCACAACCCTTATCAAGATGTAATTAATATGTGTTATTTTCATATAAATTGTTTAATTATCAAATAAGACTTTTTTCTTTTGTTAAGGTGATATATAACATCAAATAATAAAAGAATTATTTTAAAGATATTTTAGGCAAATTACTCATGGATCAATTCGAGCTAAAAACCAACCCAATTTTAAATGAGTTGAGTTCAACAAATGAGCGAGTAATAACCTATCCAACCTTGAACAAATTAGACGAGTCAAATGAGTTTGGGGTCATATTGCCACCCCTAGAATCTAATTGAACATGTATCACAGCAAAAAAGAGTTACGTGTAATAATATTAATTACACTCGATTTAGATTAATACTCCTTTTAGTAGTTTGACTCTAAATTCTAAATTTGAATTTTGCTCAGATTAATACTCCTTTTAGGAGCAGCTAGCTTCAACTTTTATTGTGGCATAATAAAAATCAAGTTCGACTAGAACAGTATTAAAAAGAAAGAAAGACTTTATGATCTAACACAAGTCATAAATATTAATACGACTATAAATTATATGAGTTGCAGGGTTTTAATGTCACATTATTATCAATTGAAGAAAAAGAAAAGGATAAGTGTATGATTAAGATAGTACTGGCTTATCATGAATGCCCAACTGTGCCCAAGTGATGACCTCTAAGAGTTCCTCCAATGTTCCATAGCCACCTGCAACCACAACAAGAAATAAGGAGATTAGCATTAATTAGTTGTTCCCGAGAAGTTTTATTTTGTGTCTCATGTAACTGACACTAGTTGTATGTGTCTCCTTTTTCTCTCACAAATTTGTGGACCCCAATCTTACACTTCTGAGTCAACAAAACTGTAAGACAAAAAAAATTGTCTCATACAAGTAGTATCAATTGTATGAAACACAAAATAAAATTTTCAATCGTTCCCCAATTAGCAAACATATAACTTGAAGAAGTTAATTAATCACTGTAATAGACAAGGCAGTTTTTGAGTAGCCCCACAGTTGTCAACATCGGGGTTGTCCACTTAAGAAATTGATTGCTACGAAGCAACTACTCCTTGCGGTCTCAAATAATGTGTCAGGATTCTTTTCTACACGCTTTTAACAAAAATTAATTAGGATCAGATTTTGACTACTTTATCCTTATTTATGTCTTACTCCTTTCGTTCTATAATAAGTGATTTTTTGGCCTTTTTTGTGGTCCAAAATATCTGATTTTTCCAGATTTTAAAAATGAATTAATTATTTTTTTTCTAAATTACCCTTGGAGTAAATAGTATTGAAGTATGTGTTAAAAGTGTTTATGTGAAGAGATAATAAATATTAATATGGTCAATTTCATTGCTAATTAATGTTAAAAGATGAATTTCTTAATCTGTGTGAAAATAGCCAAAAAATTACTTATTGTGGACTAGAGGGAGTAATATTTAATCTTTTTCATTGGTATTTGAACAACGTTATCCATAATTGAGGTATTTGTAGCCTTCAAGGATAATTATTACTAAGGGTAAAGAAGAAAAAAATAATCAATTTTGTCTTGAACTTCTAAAATAATAAACAATTTAAGATAATTATTTTTGGTAACCACGACTGATAATATGAGACGGAAGGAGTAGTATAGCCTGTTTGACCAAGCTTTTTTTTTTTGGCCAAAAGTGCTTTTGTTTTTGCCAAAAGCATTTTTGGCCAAAAATTGAGGTGTTTGGCCAGACTTTTGGAAGGAAAAAAGTGCTTTTGACGAGAAGCAGAAGCAGTTTTGGAGAAGCAGAAAAAGTAGTTTCTCTCCAAAAGCACTTTTTTGAGAAACATTTTTAAGAAAAATACACTTAGTAGTTTTTTAAAGCTTGGCCAAACTGCTCATAAGTGTTTTTCAAACTAATTAGCCAAACACAAACTGCTTCTCACCAAAAGTACTTTTGAAAAAAAAACACTTCTCAGAATAAACTAATTTTTGTAGCTTGGCCAAATATGCTAGTAGTAAAAGATCCGATCATTTGTAATTATTTTCTAATCCAGATCCATAAAGTATAAAGTGGAAGCAAAGTGGAGCATTTTAGTGCGGATTTAAGTATATGTACAATACAATATCAGATTATATGTACAATAATGTAAAAATTATTTACATTATCAGTATAGTTTAATCTGGATATATTATGTCAGTTTCAATTGTCATCAGGCTAAAAATAATGCTTATTGTAAAAATTATTTGTGATTATCTTATAAATAATTTAAATGTATAGTTTTTTATACTATACTTTTTTTTAATAGCGTTACCTGGCAAAGCTATGAATGCATCAGCTTGCCTAGCCATTTCAGCCTTTCTTTGGTGCATACCAGAAACAGTCCTCACTTCTCCAATTTTTTCTCCAGTAATCTGTAGAAAATGATGGTGTTAAACACAATTAAAAAAGTCAAGTATGAGTAGTTAATAATAAAGATAATAATGAAAGAAAATAATCTATTCTTTTCATTTGCTAAAGTATACGAGTAAAAAATATACTCCCTCTGTTCCAGTTTATGTGAACCTATTTCCTTTTTGGTCCGTTCCAAAAAGAATAAACCCTTTCTAAATTTGGTAACAATTTAGCTTAAAGTTGCAACTTTACCCTTAATGAGAAGCTTTTATAACCACATAAATACTCTGGGCCCCATTTGGACTTGTTTAGGGTCACAAATTCCAAAAGTCTTCATTTTTTTCTTAAACTCCGCGCTCAGTCAAACAGGTTCACATAAATTGGAATTGAGGGAGTATATTTTAGTGTACTGAGCTAGTGAGAGAGAATAGAGGAAATGATTGATAAATAAGATATATATATAGAGAGAGAAAGGTATATTTTAAATAAGAATTCTCTGATCATAATTACAATTTACAAAATCAGATACCTCTCTGGGCATGAGACTTTTAGGAATCACACTGCCAAGAGGAAAAAAACAGCAATATGAGCACTGAAAACACTTGCCTAAATAAATGTATAATATACAATAAAGACTATGGAAAATTAAAAATAAAAAAAATATGGAAAAGAGTCTTTGAATAGCAGAAATTTGGTACCCTAACACGTGGCGGCCACCATTAAAAACAGTTTTAGAAATCAAACCCATCAAGCCAACACTGCCACCTCCATACACCAAGTCAATGTTCCTTTCAACCTGTCATTTTATTTCAGGAAAAATAAAATTTACCAAAAAAGATTACTTGTATTAGTATGTACGTAATTCTAGTCAACGAACCTCATTTAGAAAAAAAAACAGCACGCTAATCTTACTTATAACCACTAATTGTCATATGTAACACCGTACCTATATAATATATCCACCGTACTTTATCCAATAAAAAGAAAAGACAAAGAAAAAAAAATGGAATGGCTCTATTTGTGATCCCAAATCTTGATCTAAAACATATTTCTTGGCAATGGCGAATCTAGGACAAAGGTTATGGGTCCACATGAATTCAATAATTTTTGCTACTAAAAAGTATAAAAATATTTAACTTGAAATACAGTTAGTTTGTTCAATGATCATGTATGGGAAAAATTTGGATCTGCCTCCTTTTGTGTTGGATTATGTTTTCTTGTATCACCTCGAATCTCTTCATACTCAATGGTACAGCACATAAAACAACATGTACAGTAGGTACGCAGCTTGGAAATCTAGTTTCTTCCATGCTTACTACACAAATAACAAAGCACATCTCTATTGTTCCATTACAAAAATATTCTACAGATAGATAGCCGGTGTAAAGAATATTTTACATCATCACGTAACAAAAAGAAAAAAGGATTGAGTGGGAAGTGATATTACCAATTGGTTTCCAAGTTGGATAGCAGCAAGTTGGTAAGTAGGTTTATTGCCAGGGCTGCTGCCACAGAAAACACATATGCGCTTGAATCTTGAGGGCTTTAACATAGGAAGAACAAGTTGAGGATTACTGTTATTTCCCATTACATGAAACACCTCCTTCACTACTCTTAGCTTGTCAAGCTTCTACTAATTAACTCTTAATTATTTGGACTTGATTATCTAACTCATTCTGGTTTTGCGTCAGAGACAACAGGGAGTTTGGAGCTAGTCAACAAGTTTCCTTTTTTTTTTTTTTTTTTTTTTTAAAA